TGCCAATCCCCAGCCCCCAGGAGCATTCTGAAAGCCTCCTAAAGGCTATGCATGGGCATTTTGGTGAAGGGGCAGCGTTTCAGGACGCAAGAAAATGCTGTATTCAGCATATAAGATACACCCAGATTTTCAGCCTCTTTTTTGAGGGGAAAAGGTGCATCTTATACTCCAAAAAATAAGGCAATTTGGATTCAATTCAAATGTGAACACAATTCTTCTCCATCTCTTTCTCATTCTTTTTCTCCCTCCTTCCCTTCCCACCCTGCTTTATCTACTCCCCATCACCCTCCCTCCCTTTCTTCCTCCCTCTTTCCATCTTCTTCTCTCTCTTTCTTCACCTTTCTTCTCTCCCTCCCTCTCCCCCCTCCGCATTCCGTCTCCCCCTCTCTTTCTCCCTTCTTCCCTCTCTCTTCCTCCCCCTTTCCATCTCTCTCTTTCTCCCTCCTCTCCCACTTCCTCCCTCCATCTCTCTCTCCTTCACTTCCTTCCTCCCTGCCCCATTCTATCTCTTTTTTCTCCCTCCTTCTCTCCCTCTTCCTCCCTCCTTCCTTCTCACCCTCCCTTCCTCCCTCCTTCCCCCTTTCCATCTCCCCCCTTCTCTCTTTCTCCCTCCTTTTCCTTTCCCTCCCTCCTTCCTTCTCTCCCTTCCTCCCCCATTCCATTTCCCTCTCTCTTTTTCCCTCCTCTCCCCCTATCTCCCTCTTTCCTTCTCTCTCTCTCTTCCTCCCTCCCCCATTCCATCTCCCCTTCTCTTTCTCCCTTCTTCCCTCCCTCTTCCTCCCCCTTTCCATCTCTCTCTCTCTCTTTCTCCTTCCTTCTCTTCTTCTTCCTCCCTCCTCCCGTCTCTCCCTCCCTTTCCCTCCCCCAATCCATCTCCCCCTCTCTCTTCCTCCCTCCTTCCTTCTCTCCCTTCCTCCTTCCTTCTCTCCCTTCCTCCCCTACATCTCCCTCATTTCCATCTCTTTCTCCTTCTCTCTCTTTTTCTCCCTCGTGCCTTACATGCCCACATCCATATTTTGAGGATTATCTGCCTTCTCTGGCCTCCACCCATCCTCAATGATTCTATCAGGGTTGACTCAGCCGTCCATCCTCCCAAGGTTAGTAANCTGACCATCACGGGGGCCTTGGTGGAAGACGAGGCTGCGTATTACTGTGTTGCCTGGATTGGAAGCGGGCGCACAGTGCTTGGTTCAGATGGAGAAGTGAGACAAAAACCCTACAGGAAACAAGCTCCTTTGATCAGCCTCGGTACGCTTACATGAAGGAAGCTTAGCAACTGTGCTACTAGCCTAACGACTGCAATGGTTCACTTAACAAGTGGGGTAAGAAATGGGACAAAACTCACTGAACAAAGGTCTCACTTAGCAACATGGTTTTGGGGGTCAATTGCGATCATAAGCAGAGGACTACCTGTATGGTATTAATCACCGAATGATCACCTTGGTGAAGCTTCATCCTCCATCACATCATTATTTGAGCATGAACCCAAGTGTATCACATTTTTCAAGGAGGAAGAGGTGGTGAAGGAGGAAGTGAAGAAGGAGGAGGAGGAGGAGGAGGTTTTTTAAGAGAAAAAAGAGAAGGAGAATTGGAAAGCCCTTCAGAGATACAATCTGTCCAGCAGGTGCAAGCATCTCTCCTGTGGTCCCAACAGCCAGAGACAGAAGTTAAAGGTGCAAAAGATTTGCATGAAAGAATTGGGGTTTTTTGGCCTCTGGGGATTTAAGAACAACTGGGTTGACCCCAAGAGAAGAACCTGTCACTTCAAGAAGATGAACGTGTCTTATCTCCCCCGAATAAGCAGCATGTTCTTTCTGACCATGTTCCTTGCCACCATTGGTGAGCTACGTGGAGTTGGTGGAAGAGAGAAGCTGGGTCTTCTCCCAAATGGTGGCCATGGTCCTTAACTAAGCAGTTCTTTTCTGTGTTTCCTTACAGATCTCAGCCTTCAGCAGCTGCAAAGCTTGAAGGACCCAGAATCGGTGGGTCCAGAAACCTCCAGGCAAACCATCCCGGCCCTTGGTTTACCAGACCAGTGTCAAACCTTCTGATGTTCCAGCCAGGTTCTCTGGGTCCAGGTTAGGGAATGTCATGTCCCTGACCATCACGGGGGCCTTGGCTGAAGATGAAGCCNGCAGAGTCATCCACTGTGACTCTGGCAGCAACTACCTCAGCCTTTTTCCTTTTAATTTTTTTTTCTTTTCATGATGACATGAAAAGTCTGCCTCCCCAGACTGCATGTCCCTGAACTGAAGTTAATGTGGAATACTACTTAATCTAAAAATCTCTTCAGATTAATGATTAACAATATAAATCCAACCCTAAATAAGTAGTCTTGATTCATGTTCTTCAGAGATCATCAAGTAGATTATTTTATAGAATGAATACAAGAATTATTTTACGTTCAAAATTCTTAAAGAAATATCAAATGCAACCAGTTGTAGATAATTATTACATTGTGTTCCAGTTAAGAAAGTCAAGACTAAAAGTATCATTGTTATTTATGTCCTTATTTATATTTTATTTAGCAGTTTTGCAAAGAAAAAAGAAAAAAAAGAAGCTTCTTTTACTGAAATAACTAAAAATATAAAAGATACAATAGTAGTTCCTTGAACTCCGTTATGAAGAAGGGAATTCATCCTTTTTCTGCGGTGTTTCCTGGACAACTAATTGGTATCAATATTGCATTCATTTACATACCAGGTTATTGTTATTTTTTATATGACTAGTATTTTGTTTCCAGATGAACTTTATAGAGGTTGATTTATCATTGTAGCCTTTTGATGTTTATTGTGTTTGTTCTAATTAGGATGCTTATTTGATGTTTATACTGTGCGCTTCAAACAGCTGCTGTGGGTAAAGGACATATAAATGAATAAGGGCATAACAAGCATAGGATTTTAATCTTTAGCTTTTAAAGAATTGGAAGTATTTTATTCAGATCATAGTTATATCAATGCCTGGGGTACGCAAAAATCATCTTACACATAATTTTAATATCAATTTTCTAGATGCTTTTGCATTTTTAAATTCAACTCCCTATTTAACCATATGGGGAATACTTTTGCAGAATTCTGAGGAAATTGGGGAAGACTTGAATATATTTTTCCTCAGTTCTTTGATGTTAGACTGAATATAGATAAGTCTTATCATGTTTTTTTCATTCCATGTAGAAAAGAATGACTGACTGCTTGAATTCCAATCATTTTATGAATGAACTTATGGGTTTGTCTTTCTTCATCAGGATTCTTGTATAAGTGGAAACAAACTTTAGAATAGCTATGTTTTCATTTTTTTTAGAACTATCTTATAAATTAAATAGGCTAGTTTATGATACAGCTTATTTTTGTGTTTTATTAAACTAATAATAATGCTTTTTAAAAATACAAATATGAAATGCATTTTCAAGTAATATGCAAATATTAAAAGATGTTACGAGTTAAATTATGTTGAAATGATAAAATAGTTCACGTAAGATTAAATAAGAAGAAAAATGGAAAGCTCGGACACATGTATCAGAGAGTACAAAATTTGATCAGATTTAAACTGCTTTTATGAACTCCTGTTGAAATAAAGTTATTTTGATAAATCCAAACAGTAATTTTTCTATCATGAAAAATTCTGAAAACTAGCTATTTGTTCATCCATGTACTTTACAAAAGAAAAAGTGCAGCCTTGTGCTTATTTTTGTTGTGTTTATTATGACATGTGTATGTCGTAATATGTGACATAATTATGTGACAATTGCTCTCTTTGCTTTTTCAGTGCCAATAATACCAAGTTATTTGTATAGCCTTAGACACCCCAAAAATGTAACGGATGTCCAAACCACTAGACCGGAGACTCCTGTCAACTCGAACAGATTGCAAAGCATCTTTTCCTATTATGACAATTCAACTATAGTTACTGGAAATAATTCTGAAAGAACAAGGCCAGAAGATTATTATGCTCAGACAGAGCAAATGGTGGTCAATATGTCTATGGTAACCCCATCCTCCTCAGACTGTCCAAAGAAAGACAAAGAGTTGGTGAATGAAAATGTAGAAGTTGGTTTGCTTTTTGCTTCCAAAGCAACTGTCCAATTGCTTACTAACCCTTTTATAGGACCAATGACAAACAGGTATGTTTTCTTTTTTTTTCTTACATAATAAAATATATTCCATTTGTTCTATTCACCTGGGTATTTATTTTTTTAGAGAAATATTTGCTTTATTATGTATGCATCTTATTTCTTATTTAGTTTATTGGTTGCTTTCACTGAAATATATTATTAAAATGAATTGCTAATAAACCTGCACTATATCATCCTTAAATAAATCAGCCTTCTGTTTACCTTCAATTTTATTTTACATAATTTTCAACTTTGTTCCTTTTCTGCTTTTTGACTGGCATCTTGTAGAAGGAGTGAACTTTTTTTTTAGCTAATGCAGATATCAGATAATGAGAACTAGAAATGAAATAGCTTATGTTAGTAAAACTATTGCAATGTCTTCAGTAAAAATATGGGAGTAGTGAGTCAAAATTATGCACTTCTCTCCAGCCAAGCTTTCAAATACATTTTTTATTATAAACTATTTATTTTTATGTTACTTTTTAAAGAACATCCTCCTAAGTTAGCTTGTTGTGCACTTGGTTAGAATGCAGTACTGCAGATCGATTCTGTCCATAGTCAGGAATTCGATCCTGACGGGGCTGAAAGTTGACTCAGCCTTCCAGCCTTCTGAGGTCAGTAAAATGAGGACCCAGATTGTTGGGGGTAATATGCTGACTTTGTAAGTGACTCCGAGAATGCTGTAAAGCAGGGGTGTCAAACTCAATTTCATTGAGGGGTGCATCAGGGTTGTGTTTGATCTCGGGGAGGGGCATGGCCAGCTTGACACCAATCATGTCGGGGGCACCTGTGGTGGCCCAAGTGCTCTACCAGCGAAAACAGGCTCACAAGCTCTGTTTTCGGCTAGGACGGCCTCCTGCAACCCTCTGCCAGTGAAAACGGAGCTTGGGAGGGCCATGCGTGGCCATCCCGAGCTCCATTTTCACTGGCAGAGGCACCGCGAGCCAGTCCTTTGCTGTTTCCAGGGCTGCCCCATGGACCAGATCTAAGCACCCTATGGGTTGGATTTGACCCATGGGCCTTAAGTTTGACACCCCTGCTGTAAAGCATATGGAGCAGTATATAAATTTTAAGTGCTATCGCTATTGTTACTACAAATGCCTGCAAGTAAGAGCTGATGAAACCAGAGACAGAAATGACTGTATGATGGGTTTGTTGTTCCGTTTGTTGATCAAATATGGTTGACATTCCTCCTGAAAAAATAACAATTCAGGCAGGCTCATATTGTTCTCTTTTAGGCTGTGATTAGAAGCATTAGAGTGGCACCATGGTTTTAATATATATCATCACAATTTCATACTTTTCCAGCAATAGCACATACAATAAAGCTGTAGGGAAAAAAAGTTAGTATAATCAAATTGATAAACACTATGTTCCTATTAAAGCATGACTGAAAAACATCTATAAAACAGCAAACAATTGCAATTTTCTAATAGCATGAAACAGTGATTATGGGCCCAAAACCTTCTGATTCCAGGGAAGTTATCTTTACTTCTGGATGGGTTTATACTTCATTGGAGAGGAATGATTCATAATTTCAGAATTATTTTGGACTCATGGCTCCTGTTTAAAGAGAAGATGACAACTATGGTCAAGAGGACTTTCATACAATTATATCCATTGCGGAAATTATGAATATTCCTGAACTGAAAAATCCTAAAATCACTCTTAATTTAGTCATCTCCCATGGGATTATTGTAATTTATTTTACAGAAAACAAGTAGTTTTCTGCTACATTCCTCCCATATAACACCTCTAGTTTGACAGCTGAATTGGATGCCAGTTTACTTTCAGTTGCAATTCTTGAATTGTCTTGTATTATCTTTAAAGAATTCTTGGTTCACAAGTTGAATATCTACAGAACTGCCTCCTCCAAATGGTTCTACCTGTCTATTCAGATCAAGTGAGGTATACTTTTCTTGGATTATTCACTCTATACAGGCCAAAAGCTTTCTCAGTTACACTCCCTCTTCTCTGAAGCATTTGTACTTACAGAGATCAGATTAATCCCCAATTTACTGGGTTTTGGTAAAGCTGAAAAACTGTTTTTTTTAAAGCCCCAGGAGAAGATCTGGTCTGAGGTAGATGTAGAACTCACATTCTGGGTTGTGTCTGAATGTTACCTTGGAGACCATAGTTTTCTGCCTAATTCTCTTTGTTACTCTTAGTTATCTGATTGTGGATTTTGTGCGTGTGGTTATTTTAATCTTATTGAAAGAATAGAGTAGAAGCCATTCAGAATCTCTCTGGATTGGAGAGGCATAGCACAGCAAACAAATGAGCACAAATTTGTGTTTACCCATAAGACGCTGCACATATGATGATCTATTTTATGTAATGTAAAACAGTTTTTTTTTNTTACTACTAACAGAGATACAAAAGTGGGCGGTAGGTATAAAAAGGTTGACTACCCCTGGTATAGATAGTGCCCTATCTAACTTCTAGGAATGATTTCCCACTATTTGTGTCCTTTGTATACAGTTAGATAGTTTGTATCTGATATACACCAGGTGAGATATGTGTGATGTTTACTAATACTTACCTGCTCACCTCTATTGTAACATGGAGATACTGCTATAGGTGCTATGATATGCAATTTGGCATATTACTCCGTCATGTGTCAGTTGGTTTATAAAATGGTAATTATATAAGCAAATAATATGCCTATATTTTAAATTGCATGTAAAATCTTCTCATAATTTTTTCATACTGTTCTTTCACATCTACTTGCACAGATTGCAACCTGTGGAATACAACCTCTGTAGTTATTGCTTCAGGTTTGACTACACTTACTGAAATATCATTAAATGATTTTCTTACTCAGTATTCATCTGGGTAAAATGTAATTAAAACCAGGACTGCAAAAAGAAATTTATTTCGTATTTATTTATTTAGCCCTCTATTTAGTGAATTCGCTTCCCATGTGGATTTCACAGAAGAAATCAACCTGCTCTAGAAATAACTGTATACACATCAACATACACAGTAAAGTAAATGTGGCAGAATTATACATAGAGGTTTAAAGGTTTCTAAAGAAAAACAAAGTTAAACTCAGTCACCTACACATTACAGTGTACATAATTATAGTAATGCGACAGGATCTAGTTGAGTCACATGTTTCATACCAAAAACCTAGCAAGGAGCAAACAGCTATGGGAATTTTTTTTACAACAATCTTGTGGAAGGAAAACAGTCAGCACTTTGTCATAAGCATAATAAAAACTGACATTTTGGAGTGATACTTTTTATATCCTAAGAAAACTGACCATTTTTGACCAACTTCTAATTTTTGGAGAAATTTTGAAATCTGCAGAGTAGGTTGTTGTATTTCATTGACTTTCTGTGTAGAACAATCAAATTCCAAGCGAACTACCAAAATACTATTTACTTGTCCAAGTCCTCATTTTCCCTTCCCATTTATATATGAATACAACTGCTTCAAAATAAAACAGTTTCCATCCTTGTTTTATACTTTGGTATCATGCCATTGATCCATGCCGTTGTAATTTTATCCTCAGGTGCTTTTGAAATGGATTCTCCCAAACTCTTAATTCATTGGGTTGTTGAACTTGAATAATAAGTTGTAAGGTAGCATTTTAGTTGCATTATTTCTATGGACTTGCCAAGTAAATTCCTTAGTGGAGATTCCTTAGATTTGGGTAAGTTGTAAGGGTAATTTGAAAATACAAGTTGCATAATTAAAAGCAAGACACACTCATGGGTCCAAGAGGCAGAGACTTGAAAAGAAAATATTGTTACATCTAAAATTTTTATTTTTTAAAAAAGCCCTTAGTAATTTACTGTCCTTAGGCTAAATATTCACTGGTGCTGCTGGGTTAATGCGATGTGTGGATTTCCTGAAATAACAATGATTTGGTGCCATAATGAGTTTCTTAATGTTCAATTTCTTTTCTTACAGATGGAAGAGAAACGGCGAAAATACTCAATCAGCAGTGATAACTCAGACACCACTGACAGTAAGACTTTTTATTCAAGCCTTATAACAAGATAACCAAATGATTCACCTTCAGCAGGGAAATAATTTGAATAATTACTTGCAGACAGTTAGGAAAACTACATGTTACAGGTAGTCCCTGGACAATGAATTGTATACAGGGATTACTTATTACAAGAAGTAAATATCTATTTACATACCTGTCAATGGAAGTCTTATAACTAGTGCACTTGTCTTCCTGTTGTGAATATGGGTAAAATAGGCCAATGGCAAAACCTTGATCTAGAAGTAAGCCTATCTGCAAACAGAGGTGGGCTTCAAGTAGAGTTGTCTGGTAGCCAGACAATAATTGCAAGGAGGGGATATTGAAAGTAGAACATGCTTCAAAATTATTCTCCAAACCAAAAGGTTTAGTCAAAAGTATACTTCTTTCCTTCTACATTTCTTACTTTGTCATATCCAAGTGACATTATGAAGATTCCCTACTTTTATTGTTTCTTCCCGTTAAAACCTAAGCCCTAGGCAGAATCCTTGGTGCTTAAGAACTAATTTTTGAGTTTGGGCAGTTAAAGCAATCCAGAGTTTAGCTAAATGAATTGTGCAAGGCTATTGTTGTGGTCCTCCAGCGGCCTGCGGAGCTGGCAGCAGAGTTTGATAGTAAGGAGGTTGGGGAGGAACATGGGCCAAGTCCTGGAGCCTGGGGAAGGCTCGGACGAGGGCTCTGCGTTGGAGGCAGAGAGGGGGCCAGGGCCATCTGGGAGTTATATGCTGCCTCCGGAGCTTCCAAAATCGGACATCTCCCCGTTACCAGTGCGCACATGCGCAGAGTTGCCAAAAGGCAAGAACAGTTAAGACAATAGGGATGACTCGAGAGTAAGGCTTGGAGGTGATATGGCCACTCCCATAGGACTTAAAGGAGGAGCAAAAGCCCGTGAGCCTTTGCGGAAAGCAACTTTCTTCATGCTGGTCAGAAGCTACCTTCTGAAGCTCCATTTTGTCTCTGCTCCATGTGGCCTTGCCAAGCTAATTGCCAATTAAATCTTTGGCAGCACTTCAAGGAAGATAAAGGTAGGTGCTTATCAGCCTCATCCCGAAAGACTTTGGCAGCCTACTGTAGGACTGTTTACAACTATTTGGGACTCATTACGGGCTGTGAATGAACATAATTCACAGCCTTTGAAATAAAATGAGGGTTTTTGGGACTAAGCGTGTGCTTTTTACTGTATTAGGAAGCCTAGGTCAGAATAGCTATCTCAGTTGACCAAAGGAACTGGCTTTGGACTTGTACCAGGCATGGAACTTACTTTGGCTTGCAAATACTATGTAAACTTATCAGTAAACCCTTACTTACCTTTAAACAAGGTACAAGGTGTGACATTTAGAGCCACATGACACTGTGAAGCTGCTATCTGTTCTTGGAAAAGGGAGGTTGTAGTTAGGTTTATGTTTACTCTAGTTAAAATATGACCCACTGTATAAAAAGCAAAGCCAGCAGAGATGAGGCAGAACTGTTTAAAGCGTGACTGATTTTACAGAAGTTGTGTTTGTTTAAGTCTGCAGGCAAAACCGTATATTATTAGGACTACTGTATTTCAGGGGTGTTGTAACATTACTCAAACAGGAAGAGGGGGAAGTCTTTCCAGTGGGTACCTGCTTTGTCCTCAGGTGGTTCTGTGGCTGTTTCAGGCAGAGGAAACAATACTCGGCTGGATAACTCTATAAATGTGTGTGCATATACACATGTAGAAAGCCCTATTGCCGCTTTCCCTCAGGTCTCTGAGAGTCACAATTTCAGAAAAGATAATACTACTGAAAAGAGTCAGCTTTGCCGAGAGAATGCTAGTTGCTACCTGTAATTTCTCATTCTCCCGCTCACCCCCCCCATCTCTCTTTCTCCTCCCTCTTTCCCTCCCTCCCTCCCCTCCTATCTCTTGCTCTCTGTCTCTGTCTCCTTTCCCCCTCACACACACACGCAGAGGCAGTATATATCAGAATTTGAAATGTGTAAATTTCAGATAAAAGATTAAAAACTTTTACCTTTCTGTGTTATTTCTATATTTATTTGAAGATAGGGTTTTTTAAAGTATTATAACAATATGCATGATTCATTGTGGAAAGAAATCCTTCCCTATCAAGATTAATATTTGATTTACAGGGATCTATGTAGAGAGTATGTTTGATGTTTATAGGACAGCATTACTCTGTGCAATCTTGGCACTGCTTGCAAATTGACTAAATTTTTAAAAATAATATGTATAAATAGTTTGTTAGTAAAAAAAAAACCCTTTTGTTCATTAGAGTAGAAAGGCACAGCATAAATCAAATATCACCTAAAATAAAATTTGCTTTGGGCTAAATTTTGCAAATGCGTTGGTTTAAAATGTGGTTTGTACCTACAGCTGTGTGATAAAGTCCTGCAAGCTTTACGGTTTATGGTTTATGACATTTTTTGGATAGGCCATTGATATTATGATATGTTATGCTAACTGCTATGCAAATATTGTTATATTTAAATAAATACTGGTGGTTTTTAAGTAAAAAGCATAGGCTTTTGCAATTTGGTGCTGTTTGGATGGGGATTGTGAATTTTCTTGCATGCTTACAATGCATGCTGACAATGACTACGAAAACAGATTAACTGATGTATACCCAGTGGCATATGTGTTGCAATTACTAAGGCTGATGCTAATGTTTTGTTAACATTTTTATGGTTTGTGGCCCTGAAAAGGACCCTTTAGGTAAACAAACATGGTTACTAATATGAAATTGGCCAGCCCTTATTGCTTATCACCAGGCAGCATCACTTTGGCATAGACTGTATAAGCCTTTGCACGTGATCTTTGGTGACAATGTGGTGCCAGGCTGCAATAATGGATTCAATCAGTTCCTGCTTGGTCTTCAGATGCTTTTTGCTTATTTCATAATCAATCTTGGCCCACAAGTTCTCAATTGGGTTCAAATCCAGACTCTGAGCTGGGCAATCCAGGAGTCCTACACCATGCTTCTTCATCCACTGCTGGGCAGACTTGGCTCGATNGGAGAGGCCTCTGTGGGGCAAGCCTGAGGGATAGAAGGGGATCGGAGAGCTTCTGTGGGGCAAACCTGAGGGAGAAAAGGGGAAAGGTGAGGAGAGGCCTCTGTGGGGCAAGCCTGAGGGATAGAAGGGGATCGGAGAGCTTCTGTGGGGCAAACCTGAGGGAGAAAAGGGGAAAGGTGAGGAGAGGCCTCTGTGGGGCAAGCCTGAGGGATAGAAGGGGATCGGAGAGCTTCTGTGGGGCAAACCTGAGGGAGAAAAGGGGAAAGGTGAGGAGAGGCCTCTGTGGGGCAAGCCTGAGGGATAGAAGGGGATCGGAGAGCTTCTGTGGGGCAAACCTGAGGGAGAAAAGGGGAAAGGCGAGGAGAGGCCTCTGTGGGGCAAGCCTGAGGGAGAGAAGGGGAGAGGAGAGCTTCTGTGGGGCAAACCTGAGGGAGAAAAGGGGAAAGGCGAGGAGAGGCCTCTGTGGGGCAAGCCTGAGGGAGAGAAGGGGAGAGGAGAGCCTGATTGTAACTACTCATAGTGACATTACAAATTAATTATGACATGAAAGTTTGTATATTTCTGCAAATGAAACTATATTGTTAAATGAGAACTAACATTTGCTGAAATATTAGATACATTGCATCAGAGGTGGGGGGCTTTTGCGCACCGAACCGGCAGTAATGCCAATAGCAACCCCGCCCCTCTGCATTGCATGTTACTTGAATGAGTGTTTGACAAGAAATGAATTATACCAAGGTATTCCAAGTTAATGGAGGAAATAGATAAGATTGTGTAACGTGATAGAATATTTATTAAAAAGATTGAGACATTTGAACAAAAGAAGGAAAAATGAATGTTGTAAAGAGGGTGCTTCTGTCCCTTTTGTAGAAAGGAATGCAGTGGGAAATAAGGTACTTAATTATGTATAGCAAAACAAGAAGACTTAACTGTAATGTTAAGAATGTACGGATGGGAATTAAATACGAAACGTTTTATTAGTACAAAAGATGTAAACTGAGGTGAGAGAAAAGCAATGAAGATCAGATCACTAAAAAAAAGTGAACACAGTGAGAAGGGGGGATCAAAAATGCCACGATTGGATGGAATTGAGGGATATTTTGCAGAGAGTTGAGTTTAAAGAACAAAAGCCAGTATATGAACATGGTAAGGACAAATGTGTTGATATAGTTTCAGTTATGTTTCTTTTTCCTTTTCTCATCTCACGCCTCAAGTTTTTCTACCGTAAATTCCAAGTATTTGAAATCCTTCACAGATAAATAATCCACTGCTTGGCAAAGGTTACAGTAGTGTTCAGGCAGAGAACCTGGAATAAATGTCTCTTTGCTAGATAGGCCTCTGAATAGATAATTTATCTTTTTGTTTGTTTGTTTGTTTGTTTGTAGTCCCTAAGATAAGAGAGTTGCTTTCCTTATGCTAAGAACCCAGATTTGCTGAAGAAGGGAGTGGTGAGGAGGAAATTTATATTAGATATATTAGCATCACATTTAAAAGACAGTGAATAGATTTCCCAAATAACTACATTAATTGGTTTTTTTCTTTTAAAATTTGAATTATTGATTTGATTTGATTTGATTTATTACATTTCTATGCCGCCCTATTCCCAGAGGGACTCAGGGTGGCTCACAAACCAAAGTAAGGAGGGGGGGAATACAAACATGGAGAAAAGACAACGGACAAACAACTACAACAATTTAAAAACAGTCAACACCCACACAATTCGAGCGGGGGGCGGGGAACTCATCAGCCCCAGGCCTGTCGGCACAGCCAGATTTTAAGGGCTTTGCGGAAAGCCTGGAGGGTGGTGATAGTCCGAATCTCCACGGGGAGCTCATTCCAGAGGGCCGGAGCAGCCACAGAGAAGGCCCTCCTCCGGGTAATAGCCAAACGGCATTGGCCAATTATTATGAGAAATGCATAATGGTTTTTTTTTTCTAAATGAAACCCATTTATAGCTTACAGTTCTTTGAGAATTGTTTGCAGTATATTATTTAGCAATAGCAGTTAGACTTATATACCGCTTCATAGGGCTTTCAGCCCTCTCTAAGCGGTTTACAGAGCCAGCATATCGCCCCCACAGTCTGGGTCCTCATTTCACCCACCTGGGAAGGATGGAAGGCTGAGTCAACCTTGAGCCGGTGAGATTTGAACCGCCGAACTGCAGTTAGCAGTCAGCTGAAGTGGCCTGCAGTACTGCACTCTAACCACTTTAAGTGTTCTGTGATGCAGGATGTCTACAATATTTGCCAAAAACACTGAAAGTTTAAAATAATCAGTAACGGGAAAATGATTGAATTGATGAAAAAGCTGGCTTCTCGTGTTTGTGTAAGTTTGCATTTCTTGCTTGGTAACAGGGAATATACCCCTTTTTTATTTCTTCTTAGGGAGGAAGATAAGAACATATTTGACTATTGCAGAGAAAACAACATTGACCATGTAACCAAAGCCATCCGATCAAAAAAAGTCGACGTGAACGCAAAAGACGACAAGGTATTGGGCCAGGGTGGGTTCAGTCAGTAAGTCTGATATATGAGATTAATGTCTTTTAAAATCTTCCTTGAAGCTGCTGTATCTCTGTCCCAGTTTGGCCAGACATCTATGCAGATATAATTGTCCAGTTTTATCTGTGTATCTTATTTATATAGCTTATTTTACTCTTGTAAAAATATGCAGCTTCTTAGAAATAAGCCCATAATACATGATTGGATTTTGTCTTTCAAAATTGAGAATAGTTACAATTTACCGAACATATTTTGAAAAGCCAAGTATTTGTATTTGTATTTAATGGATTTATAGGCCGCCCAATCCCGGAGGAGTCCGGGCGGCTTACAAAAAAAAAAAGTAATTAATAAAAAAAATAAAGAATTAAAAGAAGACAAATAATCAGTTTCTGATTTCCGGGGAGCTGGGGGAGGCCGTTTTTGTCCTCCCCAGGCTCCAAGGGAGGCCTGCTAGGCCCAAAACCGGGCACGGGGGGGGGGGTTGTGTGTCATGCACAGGGGTATGTGGGACGGGGGCATTGAATTATGGGTGTGGGCACATGTGTGCGCTTTCGGCACCCGAGGGAAAAAAGATTCACTATCACTGGTCTAGAGCTTATGTCAGAGCAGTTCTGTGGGTCCTCTGGATGAACTTTGATTTTTTTTTTTCTGTAAAATTGCTTTTTTGTTTTGAATTCTTCCATTCTGTTTTAGCACTGTGTTATTGCGGTCAGCTAAAATATTGCCACTTTAATAGGCCCTGGCTTTCAACCTCCATACAACATATAAGAGGTTCTGTGATTTTTTTTTTTCTGTAAAATTGCTTTTTTGTTTTGAATTCTTCCATTCTGTTTTAGCACTGTGTTATTGCGGTCAGCTAAAATATTGCCACTTTA